GAGTTTTTTAAGTATAGTGGGAATAGATGGAAACATTTATGAAGACTGGTGATTCGATTACTGTGTTTATTTTGATGTAATGTGTCTACACTCGATTTTCAAGTTCTATGTGTGAATTCATATCGCTGTTGTGTACGGTGACGGCTGACAGATTGTTTTGGTTCTGTGGACTTTTAGCTTTCTTTTTTTTACTATTCTTGGAATTATTTTGTATATACTAGTCAGACACTGACTGTAATTAAGTAAACGGGTCGGGACATGTCAAGATGGGAAACCTAATCACAGGTAGGCCCAAAGATAGCGTCATCATTAATCAACGAAATTCACGAACAATCCGATATTTATGATGGAGAAGTATACAAGTACTTATTAATATTTATGGGTATTTTTGTGAGTGTATATATGTATGTATTAAAATATGCACACCCGTTAAAATTATCAAAACACATGCAAAGTAAACAAAATTATCGAGAGTGATTTTGGATTTGTTAAAAAAAAATAGCCCGGACGAAATACTGTGACATTATCTTGTGATGGGAATTGCCAAGCCAGTTCATAAAATTGTGAACAAATATTTTCGTAAATATTACTGACCGCGAAGTGTCTTGTGTGTTTGAATCATTTAAATATTCTCATTTGTTTAATCATCTCGTTGTATGTCAGTGTTACATACATTTTAGTTATGTATTTGGTAAACACCTGGAAGTGTTCTTTTGTAACATTGAAGTCTAATTTGTAGAGGTTGTTGAGTTCACATAGTCTTGTAAGCCAATATGCTATTTTCCGTTTCTTTCAAATCATTATATGCAACGTTATTAAGCAACAGGTGTTGGATATCATTGAAATTGTAGACCCCATTTATAAACACTCTATCTCAAAATGCAGTTGGCGTCTCATCCAGAGTAATGTCTGATGGACGCATCGCCCTGCGAAACAGGTATCATACCGTAAGCATAATGACTACCAATGACTTGTTTATCCCCTACTTCCTACTGTGAGAAACTGTTGAAAATGTTCATCACACGAAGAGGAAATAATTGTTTTATGACAAAGAAAAGATAATGTTTGTGGTAGCTATAGCAATAGCAACTGTTTACAGTATTTTGTGGAAGCCAGTTAAGAGCACCTACGGGACTCGGACAGCTTTCTGGTGATTGTGATGTTATCCAACACCACTTTGTGATCTAAATCCTACCATGGAGAGGATGTAACTCAACATGCAATGTAATTACAGAGAGGTTATTGTTCTCCTGAATTATGTGAATATCCCTTGGCACTATTTACCATGTGAAGTGCCGCTGGCAGGTATTAATCCATATTTTATTCATTTCAAGTCAGGGAATCCGTAAACAAAGAAAGTTTACAATAGTTTGGGCCATAACGCTAGACTAAGATCCTTGAGTTGTTTTCATGAAAACAAGTCTGACTACCCTTTCTTTTTCCCTCCAATTACTGAAACAAGGAGTTCAGGTAAAACATACTTAGTTTGCACTTTCACTGACAAACCTTTCACGTTTAACAACACTTTGAAAAGATCTGGCAGAAAAAAAAATTAATAAACAAGTAAATAAAATGTATAAACAATATTTTAAAATAAAAACAAAAGTAGGGTTCCATTTTATTCAGATTGACACAATACATATGAAAAGTTTTGGTGTTCAATATTGTATAGATATAGATATAATTATATGCATTATAATGTTACAGTAATAATTATTTTCCTCGTTTCGGTGTCTTCATTTCCACCGATTGGACAATGCATCAGACCGCGGGATCAGCTTCGAATCTCCTACTGCGTCACCTGCCTCGAACCCTATCATACTCCTCATTCACATTCAGCGCAATCTAAATGACACGTATGTATAACAATGTATTTGTTGCTTATTATTGAATATCCATCTAAAAGCGCAATGCGTTTCGGTTGAATGATGTCTCATCTCAAAATGAAAATCTGGGCCGCCGGCGTATTTTCTGTTAGAACAATACTGGCTTTTATCGTTTTGTAATAAGAACCTCTATGTACCTAAATATTAGCCACGACACCAGAAGCTATGCGATCTTATTAACTAAGTTGTCTCTTTGTTTAGTTTCTAGTCGCATTCAAAATGGCGTCCTCATATAGTAATTATGGGTGATCGCAATTATTATCACGTGTACGCCAGCTGACTGTGTTTGAATACATTCTTCTCGTGTTGGAATCCTGTGCGTTCCTCATATCACGGTTACTAAAAACCGCATAAACAATAATGTCCTATTATTTCTGTATACGAAGTGAGTCAACATGTGTTTATTTAAAGGGCGGCAGTCGTCATGCTGCTCATGTGCGACATTTGTGTTGATAAACAGTGATTCTCCCACAATCCACTGCGCTCTTCTAATGGAAACCACAAATATGAGATTAGACCTGGGCGTGACTTGCACTAATTACCGCGTTGACCCCTTCGATATCTTCCAATCACCTAAAAATACCTAATCAAAGCTTGGTAACGTCTCAGTTTGTACTCGTTGATCTGCACAACAGTCAAAGCAGCCATCTTTGTTTATAAAAGATCCATATATCTCGCGCGTGCGTGGCGCGACGACTACCGCCCTTTGAAGGCAGTGGGGGTGGACACGAAACCGTACGATTCACACTGGATGGCAGTAATGGATGCGTGAGTTCGACGAGTCCGTACGCACAACTAAGCACACCTACAATGGCTCTTTATTCTTTTGAAAAAAAAAAAACACAGTAATTATATTGAGCGGAATTGGGTTCATTCCAAATTTGTAATCGAGTATATTTCGCCCTGCAGCCTGAGTAAAATACTCCCAAGTGAGATTATACCATTATGGCGTAACTTGACATAAATAGTATTCTCCAGTGCATATTACATTTCTTATCTACGCAGTAAATATTAGAGCGCACGCTCCCCTGAATAAATGTAACTTGAAATGAACAATGCGTTGCAATGATCAATTGCATGACTGTGGAATGCAGTTATTTTGAAGAAAAGAATGGTTAATATGCGGGTCATGTTTCAAAGTCAGTTTGTGTTACTCAGCAAACTAGATAAAGTGTTATGTTAGAAAGTTTAGAACAAACACAAACACAAAATACTATAATTATCGTTATTTAGTTTAGAATAGTGTAATATGTAAATTAGTTATTTATGTTTTAAGTAAAGATAACGTAAATGTGGCGGTTTTCCGTTCCGTTCGAGATCTCGCATATTGCGTGAAAAACTCGGACAGAACGTCTGTCACAAAGATCGAACGATTTGATTTTGAACTTGAATTTATGTTTCTTTTTTTATAGCGCAATGCCGTAATGGCAATCCTTGAAAGGGGAATATTTTTCAACCTATATTCTTTGCATATGAGTTGTCGGGTTGCGCAGATTTCCAACCATCTACAATCTTGCAACTGAAACCGAAAAGACGGAATTCTTTTGTGCTTATTCTTCTTTTCATTCCGACGTGATCATGAACCCCAATTGTAATGGAAATTCTACATTTTACTGAATACAAACAAACGAAGCAGATATGTAGAATGGTTTTGAATATCGTATTTCGATTGCTAATACAAAATGACCAAATGTGCATTAAGTACAATATTACGAGTATAGAATTGCCATGCATCAAACTTCTTTATAAGTCACATTGTATCCACATGTACGAGAATCGCAACACAATTGTTAAAACCACCTGCTATTCATGAATTATCGGAATAAAATTGAATAATATTGCCCCTGTCTAGAAGTATTGTATGTTCTTCTGATCTTCTAAGGAGCCTTATTACTAGAATAATTATATTAAACAGCATAATTACTGTTTCGTTATTTATTCTATTCTATTCTATTCTATTCTATTCTATTCTATTCTATTCTATTCTATTCTATTCTATTCTATTCTATTCTATTCTAAAACAGTATTAAAGAAAGAGTAAAACATTCGCTTGTTTGTGGCTTACACTCACTCGCACTGGCCGCTATTTATGTATCACGTTGTATTTATTTAATGTGAATATGAAATGGAATTATGTTCCTGATTTAACACAAACAGTATTTAGCATTCAAAATATCGTGTTATAATAACAAATATAATAATATAACAATTTTTTTGCTGAGGCAAACTAACAAAATTACAATTTCACTTCAACATACGAGCAACAAATTGCTATGAATAACACGTCCCATGATTCGGAATACTAGTATATATTTTTCGGGGCGTAATTTCATACGAATGGAAGTCTATTCGTACCAGTCCCCGAGTTTCTCTTTTAATACGCGTACCAACATGCGATATTACCATAACTGGGGATCCTTTGTCATTCGGCATATGACGACATCAGAGTGATTCATTGTCGCCAGAACAGCTGATCACGCAGAGGTATAAAACGCGGCGCTTGTGCTGGAGACTTCTTCAATGCCATTCACTGCTCCTTGAAAGGCGGTACCGTCGACAGTGTCTTCAAGTATCCTGCGTGTTTAATCGACGGTAAGCAAATGTTCAGTTGTAGTAAGAGTAATGTTTTATATTATACTAACGTAATTTCTCTATTGTTCGCAATATTTTCATTTTTTTTAATAGCAAAATATGTAATGAACTTATACGGATGAAAATAATTAATTTACGATCAGCGTATTACTCGCGGAACCATATTGCGAGATAACTCTTCGATCACCGGTTTTATATGTTTGCGCAATTTTTGTTCCGGTTTCGCTTGCTACAGTTGTTAAATTGGCCACAAGTTCAAATACAAACGCCGAAATTGTCGTACCGAGTTACAGCGATCGAGCATGAATACACTGCGCATGTCACTTTGCTTTCGCGAAATTTTATCGCTCATTGCACATTGAAAGCACACGTACATTGTATTAGTAAGCGTTTTTATATGAACACATAACGCTTTTTCCGCGAACAAGTCATAATAATTGTTTAATACACTTGACAGGTGATCAGTTACGATGAAAACGCTGTCAGTGCTACTGTGTGCCGTGCTATGTCTGATGGCAGATCAAGGTAGGTACGCTGTTTACACAATCGTGGACTTGCTCATGACGATGAAATTGAGTTCACCTTCTTTTTATTGCACTGCGTTTATGAAAACCTACTCAGAGAATGAGTATACGTTGAATATCTATGACATTGAATGTATATAAGTTGTATTTGACAACCTTACCCCCAACCCCCGCGCTAGATGAGTGCGTCGTGTGTGCATCGCAAACTTGAATAGGATGCAATGACCGACATTCGCTGCGTATCAGCGATCTCATCAACGACTCAATGTAAGCGATGCCGCTCGATGGTTGAAGTAACGTTTTGTCGTAGGTCTCCATGCTTTCGAAATAATACCCCATGTTGGACACATCAGATTTCTATCATTATTCGTGTATTTTACATTATGATATGCCGTGTACAACGTACAATATGACAAATTGGCTTTTCATGGTAACAACAGACGTCACATTTCCCCGTAATTAAAACTTAAAATTATGTATTTAATTATACGTTGTTTTTAGGGTTGATTGAAACGTGTGAAATACGAATAATAACAATACATTACGAATATATACTTAGAAATGGCGGACTCCAAAAATAATCACACCCCCCCCCCCAAATATTACGACTAGGTATCACCATACACCCTGACTAATACTACTTGTATTGTTATCATTTGAAAATTGAACACATTTATTAAAAATTAGAATAAAACTTCTTACGCTGATGATGCGCTTTATGAAAACTTTCAAGTAATTATAGTTTTAAGTAATTATTCGATATGCAGTACATATGTCAACTGAGATACGTTGACGTTGTTGCTTTCTTCTCACCTATTTAATCTCGCATCAACCTCAAGAGTAGGTGGTTCCCCTTACATATAAATAGGCCGAAAGTTCGCCCACAGGTGACACGGAATAGTTGGTACAAATGGTCTGTGTCAGCTATTCACCCAGCGCCTATAGCGTTATTCACCACGGTACATATAGTACCTCATTGTTACGAGTTTCGCTCACGTTGTGTGTGAGTCGCTGATACCTAATCTACTCTTCAAGCATCAACAACGTCACACAAGTTGTCACGGGTTACACAATACATATATACAACATTGGACATTTAATTCACTTTTCGCCCAAAAGATCTCGATTGTTGTGGGGCGCTTTTAGTTCTCATTCTTTGTCGTGTTCACAATCGTCACGTGACGATGTTCTTAATAAAATCCGCAAATTGTTTCATGATGTCCACCACACTTGCGCAGATCTCCCTCATTTGCACACCGTGACTGGTACCTTCTCGTACGACGCTTGTGACTTACGTCAATCAAAATAACAATACAAGTAATACAAAAGAACTGGTGATGGTTGTAGAACCATAACTGCCTCAGCTCAAAGATTGTTATGTAATACAGGGGAATGTGAAGGGAAATGTATTGTAGTGTTAGCTTTGTGTAATTTACAATATATCTGCATTAACCTTCACTGTGAAGGACAATATGGGAGTTGACTCAAATGACTGGTAG